CAGCACCAGCCTTCGGCAATGACAGGCTGCTGCCGCTGGTTAACTGCTTCCTTAAGGCCGAGGCTGGTGCCTGGAACCCCACCATCGGCAGTGCCAGCCCTCACTGGTACATTTCACACAGCACCTTCTCTCTGTTCAGCTGTTACTGTCTCCATTCAGATAAATAAACTAAAGTTCAGGAAAACGGAGGTGGGGGGCTGTTTATCCAATGCCTACCATGTGCTGAGCGCTCTCACATTTGCCTCTCATCTGAGGTAGGTGTCGTTGTTTTCCCCACTTCACAGATGAGGAAACAGGCTCAGAGAGGCCAGGACACTTGCCCAAGGCCACCCAGTGTCAGAGCTAGCCCGCATCCAAGCAGGTGCGCTCTGCCCATGGCCCTGCCTGTGGACCCATCTGTAGTTCCTTCCTTCCTTCCTTCCCTCCGCCTGCAGGAATCCCTGAGCCACAGGGAAATGAGAGCCAACCAGGCCGACGGGTCTCCGCCTGAAGTCGGTTGGCCCTTGCCCGCTGGGGTCTCCCTGAGCCTGTGGGGTCCATCCAGGGCCTGCACTGGAAGGGGGCCCCACCATGCACACACACGAGGACCTGTCCCAGAAGATGGCCAGCCCTCCTGGTCCTCTGGGTGGAACCCAGGCCACTCCACCCTCTGGGAAAAACAGGCGCCCAGTGAGACTGAGAAGCCCTTTGTGCAGGGGGCAGGCAGGGAGGGCGGCAGGAGGGGTAGATGTTACTCACCACCCAAAGCAAAATAAGAGTGTTCCCTTTGGGTCAATACCCTGCCTGTTTGCACCCCCCACCCCCTGTGCCTCCACCTCCTCCTGTGGCCTTCCCCGCCCTCTGACCTCATCTGGTGCAGACCAGCAAGCGTTCATGGAGGGCTTCCTAGGCCCCTGATGTGGTGTCCATGACCCTCCCTCACCTATCAGGAAAGATGCTCAGAGAGGTGGAGTGATGTGCTTGGTGTCACACAGCCAACAGGGGCCGGGGCTGGGACAAAAAGGAGAACCCGACGATCAGGAAGGGGCTCAAAGGAGAGAAGGAAGTGGAGTCGCAGTAAAAGTGAGGGTTTTGCCTCACTTCCTCATTCCTGCTCACCATGGCGTCAGCTCACGGGACCGAGGGGGAGCAGCGGCCGGAAAAACCGAATCTAAGGCAGAGGGCTGACCTCCAGCAAATCCTAGGTGGCAGGCCCAGGAACAGAGGTTAAGCCATGTCCTGAGTAGCACACAGCAGTGAGTTGCAGAGGGGGGAAATGAAGCAAGATGGGTCAGCCTCCAAAAGGGAAGGGTGAGTCCAAAGAGACTTTCCAGGAAGGAAGCTGAGCCAGCCACTGGGCTTAACAGGGACCCAAGGGGACCGGAGATCTGGCTTCTTCCAGGTCCAGCTCTGCCATGAACTCTGGGTAAAGTGATGCTCTTTATGAGCCTCAGTTTCCTTAGCTGTAAAATGGGGTTCAGCCTTCTGGTCCCTGCCTACCTCCGGTGGCGGCAAGGCTGTGACATCAAGGTGAACATCAGGCGATAGACGTTGCTTATGACCTAAACAGTGTTGTACCAGAGACTGTCCACAGTGACCCCACAAAGTAGGCACTGTCCTCATCCCCAGGTTACAGATGAGAAAACCAAGGCCCAAGGAGTGAGGGCACTTAATGGGAGCCAGGATTTGAACCAGATAGCCAGGCTCGGGCCCTTGTTTTTAAACATTAAATCAGGAAAGTAGGAAACAATGATGTTTCCTGGACACAGTCAATGTCCATAAGTATTTCATGAGTGAAGAGGTACCATCTTTTGTCCAAATGCAAGTCTAGCTTTGCCCCCACTACCTTCCACCCACCTGCCTGGCACGGAAGGGCCCTCAGAGGGTGCCCTAGAGATGAGCTGGGGGAAAACACGCCTGGGAACAGGCCAGGGGACAGGAAGGGGAAGAAGATGGTCCTTCTGTGTGCCTTGGACTATCCTTGCAAAATGGGAACTGGGAGCTACATTTCAAAGAAGAGGAAACTGAGGTTCAGAGAAGCTGGGTGACTTGCCTGGCTCCCCTGGTGAAGGAATGGGCCTAGGATTTAAGCCCAGGCCCTGTCTGAGCGATTCAGGTTCTTACTGCTTTACTGCAGAGTACCTTCCCCATGACTGTGGGACCAGATGAGAAAACCAGGGACAGGCCACCTTGAAAGTTAAGGGCATGGATTCTGCAATCAGATAAATGGAGTTCACACCCCAGCTCTGCCCCTTCCCAGCTAGGAGACCCTGGGCAAGCAACTTCACTACGTAAACCTCAGTTTCTCCCTCTCAAAATGGGTACAATAATAGATTTGGATCCAAATCTACTTAAGAATATTTGGCTCGTTGCATGACACATAGTAAGTGCCCAATAAATGCTTGCTACCACCGTAATGACTACTTATGCAGGCCAGACTTGGTTACAGCCAGGCAGAACCTTGTACTCAGTGTTCACAGTGGCAGCTGCAGGGCCCAGGACCACAGTATCTCAAGAGATCTGAATTAATCTTTAACAGGTGAATTCCACTCCAAATTGGTGATGCGGAGCATTCCAGAGGGCCTGCTGGCATGAAATGTTCTCTCGGCTCCCCAGATCCTGAGTGTGACAAGAAGAGAGGCTGTTCTCTGAGGCCCTATGATTTGGGGAGGGGCCTGGAGCGCCTTTCCCAGAGCCACATGGGGGAACTGAGGCAGGCTTCAGGTCGGGGGCTTGTGACCACTCCATGTGGCCGCCTCCCTGCCCGCAGGAATAGACAAAGGAGCTGAAAGGACCCTAGCCTTCTCAAAATGATGCGTTCAGTCAGTCAACCATGCCAGAGTTTCCTGAGCACCTGCCATGTGCCGGGCACTGTGAGACCACGGCCTGTGCGTTTCTCTCCCTCCTACATCTCTCCAGCGGCCTCTCTCCAGACCCCACCCAGGGCCTCACTTCTCTCGCCCGGATGACTTTCCCAGTCTGGGGACTGGCCTGTCAGCTTGCCCTTTACTCTGAGGCCAGAGGGGCTTTTCCAGACCACACATCCGGCATTTGCCTCCCTGCCTGGACTTTCAGGGCTTGTGGGTCTGACCGGGCCCCTGCCTGTCTGATCCCTTGTCCTTCCTGTTCACATCACACACTCCACACAGAACAAATTCTCAGCTCTCCAAACCCTAGTTTAGCCACCTGGTAACAGGCAGGCGTCAGGTCTTCCTCACCTGAGTGCCTGTTCCCCTATGTCTGCATTTAGTTCTCAAGGTGCGGCTCAAATGCCACCTTGATCAAGCCCTCACTGATCACTTCCCAGTCTGTTCTCCTGCCCCACGGCATTCTCTCCTGGCCCCCTTTCCTTCAACAGGGTACATTTCCAAGCATCTCCTGTATTCGCTCACCTTACTGGGTGCCCACAGCTCAGGAGCAGGTGCTGCCCGCCTGGAGGCCGCAGCTGGCACAAGGGGCGATCCCAGCCCAGCGCTGGGGAGGCAGCTGGGACGGGACAGCCCTTCCTCCATCTTGCCATCTCTCTTGGACCACCCAGTTCATGTCCCTCGGGCTACAGCCAGGCTGCCAGGTGGGTCTGGTCTGGATTTCACTTGGGGAGCCCAAAACACCTTCACAAAGGCTGGCACCCTCACACCCTCCCAGTCCCCAGCCTTGGGACCCTTCATCTCAAATGACCCCATCCTCGTTTTACAAACGTGAACCTGACCAGCCATGAGCGCCTTTTGCCACTTGTTTTGGGAGCCCCCCCACTCTCTGATTTACCAGTACAGGTGGGAAAGAGGGGTCCCCAGCCTCTGTGGTTCCCCTCTTTATTCAAACAGAATGAACCAGAGAAATACGGAAATGGCATGGCCAATGACTTTCTCACCCTTTCCATCAAGGAGACCGTTTGGGGCAACAAACACAAGCCTTCTGTCCTCATGACAGCCCTGGGGTCACCCTCAGCCTAGCCTCATTTTACAGATGAGCTGCCCCGCATGGCTAAGGGACTAGCCCAAGTCCACACAGTAGCGGGGTGGCAGAGTGAGGGTTCAGAGGCCCACACAAGTCCCGCACTTTTAACCTCACAGGTAACCTGGGCCTGACTCTTTCATCTGGCATCTCAGAAGAGGCCACCTGGTCACCTTCCTCTGGAGGCACTGAGATAATGCCTAAATCCTCAAGTGGTTCTTAGTGTCCCAGAACAAAGCTCACACCAACGTCACACCCATGTCCCCACCCTCAGCAGAAGCCCTTGTTTTAGAGGTTGACCCAGAGCAGCCATAGGCCCCCCTTTCCCAGTAACTTCCAAGGCACCCCCCACCCAGGCAGCAGGTGGGGAGGGCTTTGGAGTCCGATCACTCTGGGTTTGAATTCCACTTGGCTACATTCTGGCCTGACCTGAGCCTCAGTTTCCTCATCTGCAAAATGGGAGGGCAGAGGGAGGGACCACTCGGGGCCGGGCCAGGCTCCATCAGCGAGTCTGTGGTTGGTATCTCCAGGGAGCAGGGCGCGTGGGCCAAGCGGGCCGTCTCTCCCTGTCCTCAGGGGCCTCCCAGAGGCTCCTGGGCAAAGCCGGAGGTTAAAGATTTCCCTGCCTCCTTGCGGGAGAGCCCTCCCTGGGGCTGTGCCTTGAGAAGTGGCCTTCGGAAGTATCAGCCTCGTCATTCCTTGCTTGCTATGCTAAGAGGTGGAGAGCAAACTTTATGCCCTCCAAGCACCCCCAAAGTGAAGATGCCTCCAAAATGGGCTGCAGGGCCTCCTGCGTTTGGTTCCGGGGCTTGGGTCTCCGTTCCGGGAACCCCCTGTCCCAGACTCGCAACCCCAGGCCCTCGCTGGCGCCCATTTCACAGCTGATAAAACTTTAGCCCACAGAGGTGGTACCCGGCCCAAGGGCACTGGGGGGACCCCAGGGCCCCGCGTCCCCGCGCCCAGGCCGGGCACCTGGGAGCCTCGGAGCCGGCCCCGGGGGCGCGCGGGGACCTCAGCTCGGCCGCCCCTCCCGGGGTGTGCGCCCCGAGGGCCCAGGCCCCACTCACCTCCGGCTCGGCGGGGCTCGGCGGGGCTCGGCGGCGGAGCGCGGCGCTTCCTGCCTCCGCGGGCCGCCGGCGCCCGCCCGCCCGCCGCGGTCCCTCCTCCCCCGGCTCAGGTTCCAGCGCGCGCCGCCCCGGCCTGCATCCCGCCCACTCGGCTGACCGCGCCGCGGCTGCCGGCCCTGGGGGCTCGGGCCCCCCACCTGGAAAGTGGGCGTCACAATTCCCGCCGTCAGGGGCAGGCGCTCCTCGGAGAGGGCTCGGGATGGAGTCCTGAGATTTCGGGCTCCTAACTAGGCAGCCCTGGGGCCGTTTCTCATCCGTGAACCGGCATCTCGTTCATTCATTCATGCACTCATGCGTTCGCTCATTCATTCACTCATGCGTTCGCTCATTCATTCATTCAGCAGACAATTCACTCAAACAGCGTGCTTGATGTCCAATAGGGAAGGCCCCTGAGTTACAGGGAGGGCCTGTCCAGGATGAAATCAACGTGCACCCCTTTTCTTCACTTCTTTACCAGCGCTTAGCACAGAGCCTGGCACCTAGTAGGGATCACAGCGTGTGGCTTTATTAGACGGTGAAGGTGAACCCCAAAATGTGGTCTCCACCACTTAAATACCTCCACCGGGTGAGCAGCTCACTTCTGCTGGGACTGGTTGGAAGCCTAGTGGGGCCCCAACGCCAGAGCCAGACTCCCTGAGCCCACGCCGCTGCTCTGTGACCCCAGCGGAGCCCCTAGCGCCTGAACCTGTGCTTCAGCGTCTGCGTGGCGGACTTCCGGGAGGGATGCCTAGCTCCAGGCCCCCTGCTCGCCCGACCTCGGGCACCAGGAAGATGCTGGGGGCTCCAGGTCTGCGTGGTGCCCAAGGCACATTTTTCACCCTTTTGATCATTATTGTTTTTACTAAACTGAGCTGACCCCCCCCCACTGGTAAGACAATGCGTTAGGTCCCTCCCGCTCAGCTTGCAAATGCAAGTAGCCCCCCAGAGGTGCTGGTTCAGCAGCTAGAAAGTGGAATTTTATAATTGTTCCAGAGAGAGAGCCTGAACAGAAATAATGTGTTCAAACTGCCAGTATACAATATTTACCAAAAAATAAATCGTAATAATTAATTCACTGAGATTCACTGAGAACAGGAGGGGTGCTGTGTGTATGTCAAGTAAACCTTCCTCCCAACCAGGCTGGGATTACTGTGCCCACTTTACACGTGGGAAACTGAGGCTTGGAGGAGAATGTGGCCCCTCTAGCAGCGGCTCCCTCCACGAAGGGGTGGTTGGGGAAGAGAAGCTTTTCCCCCGGGGTTTCCAGGATCTTAAGCAGAGCAAACAGGCGGCTATCTGGCAGTGGTGAGGAATGTAAACAGAAGGCTCCTCATGCCTCCCTGACAGAAAGCCTGTCTGCTGGGCGCCTTCCTGCCTGGGGCTGGGGCCGGGCCAGGCTGGGAAGCAGAGGAGTAATGGGCAGAACTAGTCTGGGGCCCATTTCTGCAGAGACGCTTCTCAAATGACAAGACAAGGACAGGGATGACCCAGGCTGAAGGGGCGACCAGAGGAGATGGGCCCATGCAGGGCTTACTCTTCTCTGAGGCTGAGGGCAAGAGGCAGGAGCCCTCAGCATATGCACAGCTCAGCAACTCCCTCCCAACCCCCATTTGACAGACTGGGTAACTGAGGACCCTGCAAGGAAGTGACTCATCTTGGGCCAGGAGGCTGGACTGTGGCTTCTGTGCCAGATGCCTGGGTTCAAACTCTGCCCCGCTGCTGATGAGGTAAGAGCCGTGAGCAAGGCCTCTTCCTCTCAGTGCCTCCGTTTCCTCATCTGAACACTGGATATTGGTTTCCACAAAGCAAGGAATGATGTCTGTCTTGTTTGCGGTGCCCAGCACTTAGTAGGTACTTTAATAATACTGTCTGATTGAGCTGGAGGCGGGGGAGGGGGAGTGGAGAGTGAGTGTTTAATGGGCACAGAACTTCAGTTTTACAAGAGGAAGAGAGTGCCAGGGATGGGCGGTGGTCGTGTTTGCACAGCAGTGTAAATGTACTTAATGCCACTGAATGTACACTTCAAAATGGTTAGGAGTGATTATGCTTGTTATGTGTATTTTCCCATAATAAAAAATATTGGGGACGACACACAGATTAACTGAGAGCGCTGAAACCTTGCAGGGAAGGCGGAAGTAGGCGGAGGCGGTGAGGTGCCCAGGGTTCCTGGCAAGCACTCGCTGGGGTAACCTAATATGAACAAGGGCCACTGCTAAGATGTGACGCCAGTGTTTTACCACTTTTGTCATTGGTGAAACTGTCTGGCCTCTGCCCTGTTAGGACAGGAGGCTGACAGAGAGAACTTTTCCTCCTAAGAAAGGAAAGACCTTTGAGGTTGTTAGCAAGGCCAGAGTCTTGGCGAGACTGCGGCGGGCCCAGCCTTTTGGCCCTTTGCTTCCCCCAGGGGCTCAGCCACTTCCATGAAGGGAGGTTTCTGGGCAGCACCGAGGGTCTGCATTTAGCAAGCGCCTACTGTATACCAGGCTCAGTACCGGGTGCCGGGGAGAGACTGGTAGGCCAGGTGGGTGAGCATCTCAGGAATTTACACCCAGCACAGCTGCCCTCACTCCCAGGGCACCAGTAATATCAACAAGACAGCCTGGAACAGAGGGATTCTTAGACTATTTTCTAGAAAAGAATACAGGGAGGTCAATTGCCTGAGCTCTCACAACTAGTAAAATTTGAAACCACACCTGACAGTCTCTATTGCCAGTAAGAATATGAGCTCAAAAAGACAGACCCTAACAAGCGGTAGCAAGGTTGTGGAGAAACTGGAACCCTCCTACACTGCTGGTGGGAATGTAAAACGGTGCAGCCACTTTGGAAAACAGCTTGGCAGTTCCTCAAAATGTTAAATACAGAGTTACCATAGGACCCAGCAATCACACTCCTAGGGATACAGCCAAGAGAAATGAAAATATATGACCGCACAGAAATGCATAGCGGCATTATTCATAGTAGCTGAAAAGAGAAACAATTCAAGTGGCGAATGAATAAATAAAATGCAGTATAGATATACAATGGAATATTATTCAGTAATAAAAATGAAGTATTGACATGTGCTACGATGTGATGAACCTTGTATATATGATGCTAAGTGAAAGAAGCCAGTCATCAGAGTCCACATACTATGGGATCCCGTTTATATGAATTGTCCAGGAGTGGCAAATCTACTGAGACAGAAAGCAGACTCATGGTTGCCTGGGGCTGGGGAGAGGTGAGCCTTGGAGGAGGGATACCTAAAGGGCTTGGGTTTCTTTCCAAGGTGATGAAAACGTTCTCACATTGACTGTGGTGATGGTTGCCCTTATTTAGGAATATTCCAAAAGCCATTGAATGGTACACCTTAAATGGTGAACTGTATGGTATGTGAAATTGATCTCAATAAAATTGTTACAAAAGATTTTTTTAAAAAAACAATGTGGTTTCTGGGGTCAAAAGGATCTGGGTGTGGCTCACCCACCTCTCTTTGCTGTGTGACCTCAGGCAGACAACTGCTTCTCTGAGCCTTACTTCTTCATCTATGAAATGGGGCAGTAACCACCTCCACCTTGCTCAGTTGGGAGGTTTGAACACGATAGTGCTCTTAAAGGCTGGGTATTGCGGGAACAGAGCAACTGCCCAGTAAATGGTCACATGAGGTCACCACACTTCCCCCACCAAGACTAAGTTCACTTCCCTCTCATGTGCTCTTATGCATCAGCAGCTCAACCCTGCCTCCCCACAGCCTTCCAAGAGTGGGTCTCCTCCAGGCCTTTTTGCAGATGGACAAACTGAGGCTCCACAGAGTGAAGGCCCTTTGCCCACAGGACCTGCTGATGATACATCAGGATTTGAACCCAGAACCATATGTATTCAAAGGGCACCCTTCAGCCCTCGGGCAGTCACCGGGCCCTGCCCAGTGTGCCTCGACCCCCTCACCTCTGAGGTGGGAAGCTCTGGGTGCGATGGGGCAGATGGGGTATGTGGTGGGGAATTCGGGTAGGCCTTTTGCTCATTCTCCGGTGAGTGCCATGCATGGGCTCCAGCCGTGAGGAGGAGAAGAAAAAGCAGAGAAGAAACAACTGGGGAGAGAGGGCAAGGGAAGTACCAGGGCCACACGTGTGCATTTATGCAACACTTATTGTGTGCTAGGTGCTGCACAGGGCTTTATCCTCAAGGATTTCTCCCAGCTATGGGAGAGGAAACACTCAGAGAGGTGAAGGGAGCTGCCCAAGGTCACACAGCCAAGAGGGCCCAGGGTCTGATCATTTTTCTTTGGGAGCCTGCCCCGGAGGACAGCAGATGCCCCAGGAAATCACATTCCCCCACATATACTGAGAAGCCATGGAGAGAGGATACATAGAGGCTGGGGACAGTCAGCTGGTTTGTCCACCTCAGTCCTGCAAATGGCTGGCCTTCGTCCAAGAGACTGGAGGCCCCCCACCTGCCAGGGACCTTCCATGGGGCTCTTCTGGAATTCTCTGTGACAGAAACCTGAGGCCAGGTGGGGAGGAAGCCCTTCCCCTCAGATGGCCGTTGCCATGGGCACAGCCACTCTTTGGCTCAGCCACTGGCTGTGACTCCATTCCTCTGGTCGGCAGGCCTGGTAGCCTGTGGGTGTGGCTGGGCCACAGCTGGCCACAGGCACTTCGAAGACAGCCTGCATCTGAAGCTCATTATAGGAAAGGAGGGGTGTCTTGGCCTTGGTGCCAATGGGATCTGAGCAATTCAGGGCTTCCCAGCTGGGGTCCCTGGAGGCCCCTGGAGCCGAGTGAATGAGCACTTTCTGGAGGGAGGCCCGTGGCTGTCACAGAGGCTGGGACCCCACCCCCTTGCATGCCAGTGAGGAGGCTCCATTTTCCCAGCCAGGTGAGGGGTGGGGATACAGCCCCTTTTCTGAGTGCAGGAAAGGGACCCATTGAAATCCTAGCTAACAGCTTTTTGAACTGTGAACTGGCTTTGTCACCCTCTACTCATAAAGGTTTGTATCTTCCCCTTCTCTTAGAACAAACACCAAACTCACACTAGCCTCTAGGCTTCATCCCTCACCGTCCTCCCCCTTGATTTCCAGGCTGCAGCCTCTTTGGCCTCTCTGTCCTTGGACCATGCTGCTTTTCTCCTGCTCAGGGCCTTTGCACTAGCTGTAGCCAGCCTCTTCATGGCCTGTTCCTTCTCCCCATTCTGATCTCAGCTCAGATGTCACCTCCTCAGAGATCCCTTCCCTGGCTTTCCCCATCTAAATCTCTTCCAGTGGACTGTGAGCCCCTTGGAGGGTGGGGCCTTACCTCTTTGTCCCTGCAAGAGAGGCCTTGCACAATGGTGGTGATCAGTAAAAAGGAGTGGAATGACTTGCCTTCCAGACAATACTCCAGGCTAGATCAGGGGCTGATTAATCACCCTCACTGCTACATTTTAGCAAGCACCCTCTAGATGTCAGGGCCTGTGCTAAGCACTTGGCACATGTGGTCCAGTTAGATGTCGTAAGGAGGGACTAATGTCCCTGCTTGTAGATGGACTGTCGATTTCACTGGAATTATGAATATAAACTGGTGCCCTGTTTCAGTGACAAGAGGTGTCTATTGTAGGTAGACAGAGCTGGGAGTGAGCTCTGAACATCTAATCCCTATTTTATAGATGAGGAAACTGAAGCCCAGAGGAGCAGAATGACTTGGCCCCAAGTCACGCAGCAAGGTCAGAGCAGAGTGAGGACAGCCACCAGATTGTGGGACACTTTGTGGGGTGCTCCTGTTAGTGTGCTGACACGGGCCCTGCCGTGGATTTAAGAACATGGGCTAAGTGAACATGCTATGGTTTAACTGCGTTAGGTGCCGGGTTGCCCCTCCAGGACCCCCTGGCAGGCCACAGCAACATAACAAATAAAAAGATTAATAAAAGCCATTTATTGAACATCTTCTATGTGTGCATGTTTCACATTATTTCAGGGAATCTTGTGAGGTAGAGGTGTTCCTGTCCCATTTTACTGATTTGGAAACTGGGGCCCAGTGTGGTGAACTGACTTCCTGGATCGCACAGCTGCAGTGTCACAGAACCTGGACTTGGACCCAAAAATTGTTGGGTGGTGGTACTAGTGGTGGTAGTGGTGGTGATAGTAGTAGTAGCGGTAGTGGTGCTAGTGTCAGTGGTGGTGGTAATAGTAGTAATTGTAGTAGTAGAAGTGGTAGTGGTAATAGTGACAGTGGTGGTGGTGGTAGTAGTAGTAGTAGTGGTACTAGTAGTGGTGGTGGTGGTGGTGGTAGTGGTACTAGTAGTGGTGGTGGTGGTAGTGGTAGTGGTACTAGTAGTGGTGGTGGTGGTAGTGGTAGTGGTACTAGTAGTGGTGGTGGGAGTAGCAGTGGTACTAGTAGTAGGGGTGGTGGTATGAGCAGTGGTACTAGCAGTGGTGGTGGGAGTAGTACTGGTAGTGGTACTAGTAGTAATGGTGGTAGTAGCAGTGGTACTAATAGTGTTGGTGGGAGTAGTAGTGGTAGTGGTAGTAGTGAGTGGTGGTGGTGGTAGTCATCGGAGTACTAGTAGTAGCAGTGGTGGTAGTAGTGGTACTAGTAGTAGGGGTGGTGGTAGTAGCAGTGGTGCTAGTAGTGGTGGTGGGAGTAGTAGTGGTACTAGCAGTAGTGGTGGTGGGAGTAGCGGTGGTAGTGGTACTAGCAGTAATGGTGGTAGTAGCAGTGGTACTAGCAGTGGTGATGGGAGTAGTGGTGGTAGTGGTACTAGCAGTAACGGTGGTAGTAGCACTAGAGGCAACAGGGCACACCTTTGACACAGGCTGACATGAATAAAGTCTGAACCCCTAAGCATCCACTTGAGAGGCTTCGAACTCGCAACAGGGTTCAAATGTGGCTCCTTCACCGCTTTGAAGCCGCCCGAGCTCTTTAGGGAGGCAAGGGCCCCGACGCACACCCGTCGGGTGCAGCCAGGAGGCGGGAAGCTCTCGAGGCGCAGACCCGCGGGGCCCCCCATGTCGCCCTGACGCAGCGCCGACAGCGCCACCTAGCGGGACCCGCGGGAGCTGCGGGCGGCTAGCGCGCAGGCGCGGGGCGGTGGGCGGTGAGCCCGCCGCGCGGCCGGAGTAAACCAAGGAACCAACCAACCAATCAACCAAACCCCAGGAATTGGGGCTCCTCCGTTCTTCTGCCGGCCTCTGCGGTTAATGGTGACCGCGGCAACTCTGAGTGATCACGCAGCCAAGTGCCTGCTCCGGCTGTTTCACTGACTCTCGGTGAGCCAGGAACCGTTAGTATACTCACTGCACGGATAAGGGAACTGAGGCCCAGAGGGGTGAAGTGATTTGCCCGTGGTCACACCGCCAATAAGAAGCGGAACCAGGACTCCAGCACAGTCACATCACACACGCCCACACACCCTCCCCCAAGCAGTTTCATTTAACAGGATGACGGCTTTCTATGCTTCAGACACTTCTAACTGCTTTATAAAAAAGTAACATCTAATATGAGCCTCACAACCTGTGAGGTGGGTTTTAGCAAGACACCCACGATACAGAAAAGGAAACAGGCTTTTTTAGGGAGCAATGGGCTTCAGTTCCTTGTCTATAACAGGGATGTGTTACAATGGATATGAAATGATTTATTACTATGGGCTTGAACTATTGCTCAGTGAAGTTTAACCGGAAAGAATCAAGTGAATAAATGAGTCAACCTTCGCCAAACTTTTGGGCTCATTCGGGTTTCTGAGCACTGTCAGGTTAAGCTGGGTCAGATACACGATGGGAATGTTCTGGCAGGGAGGCATGCTCACTCCCTCAGCGGGGACAGCAGCAGGCGTGGCTGGGGGGAGGTGTGGAGTCAGATGTGAAACCCCAGTGCCCTCTTGCTCCACCCCCTTGCTCCAAAATGGGGTTCTGGAAGGGGACTTCCCCAAGGTCCATGCTGGGCAGGGTTCTGTGCTACTCATGGTGTTGGAGGGAAAGGAAAAGGCCAGGTCCTTTTGCTCCACCCCCTGGGGTTCAGTTTCCTCACCTGACCAATGGGATGCCCACGTCAGGGAGGTTGTGAAATGGTGTCTGTAAAGCCCTTATTTGGGGCCTGGTATACAGCTGGTGCTCTATGTGTGCCCCCAGTATCACTTCAGCAGGGGTGAAATGTGAAGGCCTAGATGCACTTCTGGCCTTGTCTCTGGGAACCCAAAGAGTACCCAGGGGCCTGGCAGATACCAGGAGTGAAGGATGCTATGCTGGGAAAATCTTGAACTTCCACAAAGAAATTGCCTTCCCAGGTTTATCATGTTACGTTAGAGACACAAAAAAGCTCTTTTTAAAAGGAAGATTCTATTGTTGGCAGAATTTTGTATGTCTAGGAAACCCAAGGGGAAAACAACCTGAAAAGCAGTGAGAGCTTAGAAAGGTCGGTGGCATCCCTACTACCAGCAGTATTAGAAAATATAATGAAATCCGAGACTGTAAAAACTTAGTTCAGAAATCCATCCCTTCACCATGCCGGAGGGAGCCCTCCAAACTGGCCATGTCACTGGACTGTGCACAAGACCCGTGAAGGTGTTTCAGAATTTTCTGGGCCGCGTTCAAATCCCTAGGTTAGCATGTCAAACACACACACACACGGCCGAGTTCAAATCCCTAGGTTAGCATGTCAAACACACACACACACACACACACACACACACACACGACCGAGTTCAAATCGCTAGGTTAGCATGTCAAACACACACACACACAGACACACACACACACGGCCGAGTTCAAATCTCTAGGTTATGTCTTGGAGTGTCCCCTGCCCTTTCTCTGCCAGGTTCCTCCCCACCCATCCATTAAGGCTCAGTGTAAGCCCTGACTCCCTGTGATGCATCCCAGGACCCTTGTCTGTGGCCCCAGGTTCCCTCCTGGGCACTGACCACTCTACATTGACGTTGTTGATTTACTGGTCCATCTTGCCCACTAGACTATCAACTCTGTAGGTACAGGAATGAAGTGAAATAAATATTCCCTCAATATTTAACTCTAGTATCAGAAAGACCATCACCCTAGGATGAAGTCAAATAACCACTGGGCACATGCTTGTGGAGGTAACAGGGACTGGGGGGGCTGTGGAGAATACGTGTGCCCACTAGCCCTAACCACCCAAGGGGCAGTCACTTCTCAGCTCCTGCCAGGCGGTCTGATTTTTTCAAAAGAAGCTGGAAGCCAAGATTTTTATGTGAAATTTCCCCAGTTGCTCAATGCAGCAACCAGTTTTGTTTTATTTAAACCATGGAGGCCAGGAAACAGGTCCTTGGCTAGCACCCAGTTGGAACTTCTGATCCCAAAGAAAAAGAATCAAGAACCAAAACGGCACACCACTGTGATTCCAAAATAGATATCTATTTATTAAGGGTTATTTAGTGTCTGCATAAAAATCACCAATTGTTCCTTATTGGGTTTTTAACACACATCAATTCTTTTGGGGGTTGCTTAGTTCACCCCAACACTTTAAAAAATACCCCTTTTTAGTGCCAGGAAGGACAGTTAAGGCAGCGAGGCGTTTTCTTGTGTCTCAGTGGACAGAGGGTTCATCCTCTCCCCCTAGAGAGAATACACTTGGTAGGCAGTTTCTTAGGTAGGTTGGAAAAGCTGTCCCTGAAGAAAGTAATTATGCAGAAGAATTGAAATACAGTCATTTATGGTCAATTATTTGTGCCTGATAGCTTAAAAATACCCCCCATTCTTGGCCATCAAAGGCTTGCTGGCTGGTTTCGGCTATAAAAGAACTGTCTGCCAAGAGACAGTGAGAAACAGCAGGATCTATAATGAAGTGCTGTAAGGTTGAGCTGTGCAAACCACACGAGCACACACACTGGTTTGCTTTAAAAAAAAAACCCACCATAGGGTCCCTGTATAATTTCAAATCAAACTCCTCATGGCGCTTAAAATACCCAAAACATCATTCAGCCAGGTCCTAAGAACACTTGCTTATTTTCAAAGTGAGGTGTATGACACCATTCCCCAAGTTATGCTCTGCATGGGGAAAAAAAAAAAATCTTAGGACCTGATTTGTTAGGAACATCCATCAATGTATACCACACTGAAATGAAGGTATAAAGCGTAAGTCTGTGCTGCTTTAAAATTTAAAGGGGATTCGGAAGTAGGATCGTTATTTATTGCTCCATTAGGATGAACCCCAAAAACTTTTAAAAAGACCAGGGCCGTCCCCTGCAGACTGCAACCAGACTCTGGGCTGTTCTGGGGGGTACGCAGGCCAGGGGCGGCCTGCCAGGTTGATTCACAGTGATCCGGGTTTGCCTGGTTCTGGAGTGGCCTGTGTCGGGCGCTGTATCGCCCCCAGTGCGCCTACACCTTGTAGTTGAGCTCGGCGTTCATCTTGGTGTACATCTCGTAGATGATGTCGATGGTGGCTGTGTAGTTGACCAGGAAGAGGCGGACCTTCTCCAGGCACTCCTCCTCTGTGACATTCTGCCCCTTGGAGAGCGCTTTCAGGAAGTCGGACTTATAGGGGGCCGCGTACAGTGCTGCCTTGAGACGGGCAAGAGGGGAGGTGGCACAGGATTAGAGGGCGCCGAGCTGGCAGGCTGGGCAAAATGGGGTTCTGGAAGGGGACTTCCCCAAGGTCCATGCTGGGCAGGGTTCTGTGCTACTCATGGTGTTGGAGGAGAAAGGAAAAGGCAGATGTGTGTTCCCTTCTGCCCCGGTGAGGGGCAGCAGGAAGGACGCCAGCTTTGGGGCCAGACAGACCTGGATTCACAATCCAGCCTGTGCCGCCAACTAGCTGTGAGCCTTGAGCAAGTTACTTAGCCTCTCTGAGCCTCCCTCAGGGTCCTCATCTATAAAACAGGGATGATGACAGCAACCGCCAGATTGGGCTTTCCTTGTAAGTATCGAGGAGGGCGTACAGGGCTCAGCATGGCACCAGCACGCCACGCAGGTGCTCAGTGAGGGTGAGCCTCTTCCCTCTGGGGTTGCCTGCTCTGCAAAAGGTGAGCTGCTTGTCCAGAAATCTCACTTTCTGAGCTGGGGAGATGACAGCTAATCTGTGCTGTGACCTCTTCTGTCCTGCAGGGGCCGACACTTGCCCCAAACTTAAGGGCTTCCCTGACAACTTAAAAAGCAGAGAAGCACTTACAGCACTAAACTATGTTTTCTACCTTGATCTTGCATCTACCTACCACTTCAGCATTTTATCAAAAATAATAATAATGAAGAGAGAAATGTGGTATCCACATATAAATCAAGTATAAAAATCAAACAAATATTCATATTTGAACTGATTGTTTATAGTTCATAATGCAGGAGTAAAACCGAAAGTTTCTGCGATGACTGCCCTTGTACTGTTCACCATGTAACTTATTCACTATGTAAGAATTTGTTCTCCATGTAAGAACTTGTTCGCTATGCTTTAGAGGATTGGAGACTGACAAGAATTAGGCTTCGGGTGGATTAATGATTGTGCATTGAGCATTGAGTCCCCTATACAGAATTTTATTGTTGTTAACAACCATTTGATCAATAAATAGGAGAGGTGCCCTCACACACACACAAAAAAAAAATACAGACTTCCAATTGTAAAATAAATAAGTAACTGGGATGTAATGTATAGCATAAGGAATATAGTCAAAATATTGTAACAACTTTGTATGGTGATAGCTGGTAGCTAGAATTATCATGTATATAAATGTTGAATCACTGTGTTGTACACCTGAAACTAATGTAATACTGTGTGTCAACCACCCTTCAATAAAAAATAATGGAAAAAAAAAAAAACAGAGAAGCAGAAATACACAGAATTGAAGAACCAGAAGGAGAAAGATGCACGTGGATAAAAAATGGAGTCTATGAGCTTGGCAGGGCGAGGAAATTATAAAATAATACGCGCCGTAAGAATAGAAATGGTCATACCTTTGGTTTACTGAGTGTAGCCACAGGCCAAGCACTTCAGACACATTTACATACTTACACACTTCATTCTTCACAGGGACTCTCTGAAGTAGGGCCTGTTTTACACCCATTTGACAGATGAGGACACTGAAGCTCAGAAAGGTAACCTCCCAGCACCCCACCTTCATACTCTGTGACCTTGAGCAAGATATCTGTCTGAGCATCAGCTTCCTCATCTGTGAAATGGTGGCGGGGAAGCGCCCACCTCTTGGTGCATCCGTGGCAGTTACAACCCGGGGCAGACCACGCTGGGCCAGGCCCACAGGACGCGCTGCCATCACAGGCGGTGGATGTGAGGCCTGCGAGAGGGCGATGGGCCATGGGAGGGCAGGGCTTTTGTGGTGCCTGCCTGGGGTGGGTCCTGTCCTCAGCCATGCCAGGGTGGGCAGCCCAGAGGTGGCCATGTTACTGCCCAGTACCCAGCACTTCTTGCCTGGACAGACCCTACAAGCCCCCAAACAGCCAGGCTGTTGTACCGTTTCCAGGAGCTATGGCCAACGTCTCCCCAACACAAGCCACCAAGAGCCCTGTGAGCGTGTGTCCTCTCAACAGATACCCAGATAGGCTCAGGGGCCCCTCCTCCCCTCCCTGCCCAGGGTGAGGATGCAGGCGCACCTGAGGGGCCAGTCAGACCAGCCCACCGTTGGCCTGAGGTCTCCCCGAGTCTTTCCCGGGGTCCCTCCCATGGCCCCTGGTCAGGTGTCCTGGGATGAGGCACCCCACAGAAACACCAGGGTAGAGCTAGGCAAGCACATGTGGGTCCTCAGTGCCCCAGCCTCACCCACAAAGACAGGGGGGCTCCTCCTGAGCCCCAGGGGGCAATCCCAGGCTCTGAATGGCCACAGGTAGGGAGCGGCAGAGTGGCGGCCCCCCAGCTTGGCCCCGAGAGGGGCTCACCTGGAAGATCTTCTGCACGATCCAGCCATGGTACTTCTTGAGGGCCATCTCGTAGGCCTTGGTGGCGTTGACGCGGATGAGGTTAGGGTGGTTCTCGTCCCGCTCCCCGTCGCAGATGCTCTGGAGGAAGACCTGGATGAAGCGGAGGCCTCTGCAGCCCGGAGAAGAGGTGGCTCGATAGGACCCTGTGTGCGCCTCTGCCTCCCCAAATGCCCTCCCAGCCCCTAGAGGGCCCGCTGGGCAGCCAGGAGGGCTCTGTGCACGACAGACCCTGGGGTACTATGCGCTGGGCACCTGCTGTGGGCCAGGAGGGTGCACACACAAAGGGCGGTGGTCCTTCAGCACCGGTTACCTTACATGTGATGCCACCCATGTCACCACCTGGCTTAAGGCAGCAGTTACCAGGCACCCAGTCTACACTATGCCTGGTCCCTGCCTCTGACCACAGTCTCTGCTGGGCTGTAAGGTCAGCAAGGGCAGGGGCTGGGCCTGCTTGGTGTGTTTCTGTGTCCACATGGCACTCCGCGGCCAGCAGCCGGCAGTGCTTGAGGAATGAAGCCGCGGCGCTGGCCCTCACAGGCCACAGGCACTCTGGGCACGCTGACAGGCCGGCCCGGGCCCCCCGGCCACCACCACTGCCCCGAGTCGCGCTCTGCACCCTCCAGCGCTGCTTGACTCTTCCTCCCGGGATAGGACAATGCAGGCTGTGGGGCATGGCAGGGTGACCACATTGGAAACTGAGTCAGTGCCAGCCCTTCAATCCACACTGCCTCATCTGCTGCCCTCTGCCCCTGAGGCCAAGCTCGGCACCAGCTACCCATTTCACAAGGAACTCCGAGGTACCCAAAAAGGCTCAGTCAGCGGCTGGGATATGAACCCAGCCTGTCTCACCCCAAATCGGGCTCCCTCTTCCGCCATCCCTCACTGTCCCCCTGGAGGTCCCTGGATGAGCTGCTCTAGTTCCTCCTGCAGGGAGGCAGGGATCAGGTTGTGGGATTCTTAGGGTCTTAGGGGAGGTGACTGGGCCTAGGGACTAAAGGGTCTCTTATTTAATTTTATCACCTTGGAGGTGAAGGGAAATCCTCCCTGCTTAGAACAGAACCTCCAACCATCAGGGGTCAGCCTGGGATGTGGAATGAGCTCAGGGCACAACCCCAGCCCTGTCTGGGTCAGCTGCCTCTCCCCAGTCTGGGCTGATTCCTTTTCAAGCCCCATCTGACCTACTGTTGCCCAGCTCCATGCCCCTCAGTGGCCACCCTGACCAGCTGCAACTCACTCTGTCCAACCCAGCCCTGTCCCTGCTCCCATCTCCCGTCCAAGCCCAAGCTGGACCAGATGCCCTCAGAACAGCAGACATGCTGAGCCTCTTGCCCTCCCACCTCTCCAGGGCCTCACAGTCCTCGGACCCCCTGGCTCAATCTTGGAGACTCTGCTTGCCACCCTCCTCCAGGAAGCCCTTACTGACCTCTCTCTGCCCCAGGCTTTGATACCCTGCTGTCAGGATCCACTCACCAGTCAGATGCTCCACCCAGCCTGTGACACCTGAAGATGACTGTGCCTCATCTGATATCCCATGGACCCAGCACAATGCACAGCACACAGCAGGTGCTCATTATATGCTTAGCTTGCTGGTGCCCACCTGCACCTGCCCTCCCAGCTGCCTGGCTCTCCCCCTCATCTGCCCATGAACAATCTAACTGATCTGAATATTACCATCTGCCATGTTCCTCCTGAGAAAAGCTATAGAACCTGTGGGTGGGAGGCCCTAGGGGTGTTTCGCATTCCAGGTCTGAGAATCTTCTTCTGACAGACAGAACCAGCCAGCTGAGTGGGGCCAATTCCTAAAACCCACTGCAAGGGCGTTGGTCAGAGCCCACCTTCCCCCTGCTGCCCTCTCAGCTGCACCCGCCCAGGAACAGACTCCCCTTGCCCCATTTCACCCAAGGCGTGCGGTGGGGAGAAGGGGCTGGCCTCAGGGGAGAGGCAGGGAGGAGCACCCCTCCCGGCTGCTGGCTCCTGACTCCACTACCCAGAGAGAGGGCCACAAGGGGAACATCCATGGGCCACAGAACGGGTCCTGGGCTTCACGGCAGCTGCCAGGCGGCTGTGCTGTCTGCACTGCCAGAAGACAATTCTGCAGCTGGCAAAGAGTGATGGGAGCTCAGCAAGCAAGCTACCTGGCCTCTCTGAGCCGTGGTGGCCTTGTCTGTGAGATGGGAACAACTATGTGTGGCTTCAAGTATTTGCTGTAAGTACAATATACACTGTGGTTATGACCACTGTCGATTCTGGGGCAAGATGGTCTGGGTTCAAATCCCTTATCAGGATACCCTGCTCTAGTCCATACAATGAATTTCTGCAAATTAGATCGAGTTCCTTCTCAAGATGCCGTGTTTCTGACAAGAAGCTGCGTAATATACAGATCCACCATGTGTATGATGTCACCAGCCCTGGGCAGTGCACAACTGCACAACTGTGCTCAGCCACTCGGTCCCACCTCTGACCCTGGGACCGGAGCTCGATTAGGCCTCAGAAGTCGCCATGGCCTCCCTCCGTGAGAACGGGATAATTGCCACGCCTAACTCACAGTGCATGAAGTACGGTCAGGCGTGTGCAGAACTTAGCACACCGCCCAGAGTCCCGAGTCCAGAGTCTGAGGGGACTGGGACAAGGAGTGTCCCTGTCGGGCAGGTCTTGGCCCCTGGGGCACTTTTTCTCAGCCACTAACTAGCATCACACAAGAAGACAGCCTATGAGAAGTAAAGGATGTGGCCTTCCCCACCAACCCCGAGCAGACGTGCTGGGGCAGCGGCAGCGCTGGCTGCCCCGCCTCTGCAGTGCAGGCCCCGCGCCCAGCAGCCACACACACCCTGCCGCCGGAGCCCGTCACCTTTTCAGCCACATCAGTGCCAGTGTGGCCCCCACTTTGGGCCACTCTGCTCCGTACATTTCCTTCTCCACCTCCAAGATGTTCTGCAGGGTCCGGAACTTGGCTGGGTTGGTGTCATACACAGCTTTGATTTTCTGAAATGGAGAACACGGGGTTTGCCCCTTGAAAAGCCTACCCCCATAGATGGCCGGCGTGCAGGCTGGGTGGAGGAGCACCCTGCCAGGGCCTCTGTCCCCTTCCCATCAGCCCCAGGGGCAGAGCTTGCAGTAACAGTGACCAGCACAACGGCTCGGGTTTACTGAGCACCTCCCATCTGCCGGACGTGCGAAGGGCTTTGCGGGAACTGCCTTGTTTGGTCCACACAGCAACCCTGGTGTTGCTCTGTCGTCATCCCAATTTGCAGATAAGGAAACTGAGGCTCAGAGAAGGTAAGTGATGTGCTCGAGGTCACACAGCTGGTACAGGTGAAGCAGGTTCTGGCCCAGGCCAGCTCCAGAGTACATGTTCTCTGACCACTATGGAGAGCACCTCAGACACCGAGTATCTGATGTTTCACTTTTGTGGACAAGTAAAAATGGGCTTTTAGGATTCAAAGATGTCCAGTAACAGGTTGGAAACCAGGTAGTTTAGCTCTGAATCCCACCTCCGCCACGGCCTTTGCTGTGTGACCTTAGGGGAGTCCTTCAACCACTCTGCACCTCAGCTTCCTCATCTGTAAAATGGGCATAATGACAGAATCAGTCTCAAAAGGCTGCTGGGATGAAGGAATGAGATAATGCAGTGTGTCCAAGCCCCAGTCCAGGCCCTGAGTGCATCTTCCAGGAGGGGTCAGAGGCTGGGGGACGGTCCTGGGAACTCCCAGGACTGGGGAAGGGTGGGGCTGGGGCCCTCTGGACTGTAGAGTTTACTTCTTATCTGGTGGGCGTGGACAAGAACCACTAGATCCTTTCCCAGGCTAGCCCTTGAGACTGCGGTCCCATCAGGCTGTGGCTGCTTGGCCCTGAGTCACAGGCACGGGGGGCCGGACCCACTGCCACACCTCCTTCCTGCGCCTCAGCCCGGGGAGCCTGTGGCAGGGAAGCTGGGCACCGGTGACTTGCGCAGGTTCAGATCCCCAATGCGGATACAGGGCAGCGCTACTGGGCCAAGTACATACCGTGATATTGCCACTGATGTCCGCCTTGATGGGCGTAAACACTGGGGACCCGAGGCAATCTGGGGACAAAATAAGAAGAGAGATTTAGATTCCCAACAAGGTTGAAATTCATGGGTCACAGAGGCCAGGGGATAGATAGGATGGAAGGTCACCTGGTATGTTTAGGGACAGGCAGAGCTCTTTATATGTGTTAACATGGCTTGTGGGCTAGTAAATTTGGAGCTCTGGGCTCCGGGTGGGACCAATTCCTTACTGTGGACTTGTCAGAGCCTTTAAAATGCAACTGGGTCTAGCTTGGGAAACCCTCTTGTCCTAGGACATCGCTTTCTGCAATGATGGAAATGATGTCATGTCCTCTCTATGTCTGTCCTATTATGGGACACATGTGGCTACTGAGCACTGGAAATGTAGTGTAGCTGAAGAACTGAATTTGTATTTTGTTTAACTTTCATTTAAACAGAAATAGCCACATGTGGCCAGTGGCTACCATGTTGGACAGTGTGGCTGTACAGTACCTTGTAGAACTAGTGATCTGAGACACCCATCTCGGCCATCAAGGCAGGTCACTGCTTAGTAACCAGCTGGCCAGGAGACAGGCTGGGAATCCTGGCAGGTGAGAGAAGAAGAGCCCTTCTTTGATTGGTTAAAGATGCCCTTCTCACTCAGCTGCTTTTAAGGGAGAAATGAGCTGATGACCCAGAGGCTCCATGGTTCTGAGGCTGCAGAAGAGCGCAGAACCCAGCCGCAGTGGGGTCCCGGTCACTCAGAAGAGCCTGATGGACGCTGTGCTCTGCACGGCCCTTCAGCTTTCATCTAGCAAATGGGACAACAGAACTGATCAGACATGCCATGAGGATGACTTGAAACAATCCATTTCCGACACACATATTTTGTTCATCTCTGGAGCTGTAATGTTCTTAATTGGAGGTGTTTTTCCTTTCTTGGTGGTTCATAAAACAATGGAGCATCTTAAACAGGTGACACCTCTGATTATCGAAATGTAGTCCTAGAAACTGCCTGGGACTCCGGGGCCCCACATGAAATGCGAGCAGCCTATGGCCTGCCTTTCCTCCTCTCCCTGGTTTGTGACCCCTCTGCAGGCTGTCACGGGCACCAGAGACTCCGGGACACCAGGGATGGTAGGGAGGACACATGCAGGGAATGGCCGGTTCTCTCCTAAGCAGGTTCAACACAGACTTCAGTATGGGGAGGACTGGTGACTGTGCTTCCCCAATACCTTCCCACTGTCCCCTCTGCTAAGCCCAGAGACCTGCCATGCCTGATACAGATCTAGGGACAAATATGCCCGAGCACGCCACAAGTGGTACCAAACTCACAGCAGTGCCAGCTTCCCCTTGCCCAGCAGACCAGGCAGGGCCCCGGTGTGCATGCCAACTGGCTGCACAGGAGCAGAGGACGGGGGAGAGACATCAGTGGGCTGAACTCCACCCAAAGTGGCCAGCACACTTGGCCAGCCATCTGGAACATTCTAATCACAGATGTTAAGAGATATATTGGGGAAACAGCATTAGAAACTATATATGAAATACCCCATAACCCAGTGGAAAGGAAGGTTAGGGATCCCAACAGACAGGGTTTGAATCCTGGCCTGACCACTCACCAGTTAAGTAAGTCTCCTTGCCTCTGTGTGCCTCAGTTTCCTCACATGTCAAATGGGGCAGTAACAGTACTTATTTCATAGGGCTGTCACAGGAATTAAAAATCATGCATTAAATGCATTTGGCAGGGTGCCCAGTGCATGAGCACTCAATGAACAGACTGATCGCTTTTTGTGACCTCACAGTATGACTAGGTCAGGCCCAGGAAATATCACTCAGGTGTCACCTAGTTGGGCTTGGAAGCCTGCTGCAGGCTCCCAGCACAGAACCCTCAGGCAGAGCAGTGAAGCCTCTCCTTTCAGCTACCGGGCCTCTCTCCCATGCTGTGGGGGCAAGTCCCCCTCCACAGGGCCATGGAGCCTCCCCTACGGTTGCCCAGGACACTTACCACTGGCTCCCCGAAAAAGGACAATGTATTCTAGACTTCAGTAACAATGCAAGAGTCAAGTGATTTTCCTCCCCCAGTGATTATTCCCTTCTTGACTATACAGCCAGGGGTCACCAATTCCAGCCCTCACAGGGGCCGGGCAGGTGCCGTGCATGTGCTCCATGGGGCTGTCAAAGCCCTTCTAAAGGGACGGCTGCTCCTCAAGTCTGGCTGATGGCTTTACATCCTCACCTTCTGAAAATGTATCATGTCCAAAAATATAAGGCAGACCGATGGATGGGAAAAGAGATGGACAGGTACAGTAAAATATTAATGGCAGAATCTAGGTGGCAGGTGTACAAATATTCCCTGTAAAATTCTTTCAATTTTGATGCAAGTTTGAAAATTATCATATAAAATGCTGGAAAAAATGTTAGGTTGTTGTTGTTCGTGGAAGTCATAGTTCTTCCTTCTACTTTTCCTCCAAGTCCATCTCACAGAGGGAGCAACTGTAGTTACGTGTATAGCTGTTTACTGTCCGTCTCCTGCCACGAACTTAGGATCTGCACGGGCAGGGCCTGGGTCTCAGGGCCCCCAGTGCCCGAACTGCAGGAAGCATGAAACTGGAGGCGTACTTCCTGCCAACCTCTATTCCCACCTACTTCCTCATGGTGCAGATGGGCTCAGTGCACTGGTTCTAAGCACCCATTCAACCAAGATGGCAGAGAATATGGGAAGCAGCTTGGGCCTCAGTTTCCCTGTCTGTAAAGCGAGAACACGAGGAGGACCTCACTAGTAGGACTGCTGGGAGGGGGCAGAGGCATCCTATTGCAAAGTGGGAGCTCAGAGTGCTGGTCACAGTCGCTGTTACCACTAGGGGCCGAATTTCAAGCACAGCCTTCTGACGGAGAAGATTTGAGACCAGGGCTTGGTAACAGATCACCATCAACCATGCATGGGCGGTTTATGAGCTTCTCCCAGGAACTCAGGTCACTCGACATGCATGTTAGAGATGCGCAAGAGTGTCATTCAGCTTCCTCGGCTCAAACGGCTCTGGTGCAGTTCTGAGCAGCCCTGGGCTGACGGCGGGAGAGTCTTTTTGTTTTGTGTTTTCTTGACAGCGCTATGCGGGTCACGAGGCTGCCATGGTCAGCAGGAGCCGGGCCCTGACAGCAGCTGTTACTCTGTGCCATGGCCACCACATAGGAACAAAGCTTCTGCTCAACTGCAGGAGAGGAATGTGCGGCCCAGAGCGTCTCTGTGGAGCTGGGAGCAGAGCAGCGGCAGACAGGAGGCAGGGCCAAGCCCAGAAGCCACTCCCATGCTGCACCCAGAGGGGGCTGCTCGCAGGAAGAGGCATCTCGGCGTCTGTGTATGGAGAGGAATGTGCGGCCCAGAGCGTCTCTGTGGAGCTGGGAGCAGAGCAGCGGCAGACAGGAGGCAGGGCCAAGCCCAGAAGCCACTCCCATGCTGCACCCAGAGGGGGCTGCTCGCAGGAAGAGGCATCTCGGCGTCTGTGTAACTGTGTGCCCCGGAGCCGGTCTGGGAGCACCGGGAAGTGGGTCACTCGTAATTAGGGAAGCAGTGCAGTGCTCTAGAATCTGTCAGTCCTGGGTTCAAACCTCAGCTTTGGTGTGACTCTGGACAAAAGACAACTGCACAGGGCTCAGAGCCCTCATTTTCCACGGCCCAGAGGTAGGGGTGCAAACAGGAGGTGCTCCAGCTGCAACTAGGCTGAAACTTGCTTCAACATGACCCCCCAAAGCTCTGGCCTTATGTGTGTCTTTGGTGCCGTCCAAGGCCACAAGGCCAAGAAAAGCCAAGTGACTTGTCCCGAGTCACAGTGAGAGTGAGGCACCGAGACACAATGACAGAGGCACGCTGCTTTCTCTACTCCCTCACCTTTCTTTCTATTATGTTTCTATCTGTATAAACTCAGAAACAGCAAGAGGACTCTGAGAAGAAACTCAGAAAAGTATTTCAATCCCCAAGCACATGGTGGCCTTTCTAAAAGTTTAAACTCAAGATTGCCCTGCTCCAGACAGAGCACAGCAGCTTCCAGGTTACCCAGGCTTACCTTTCCTACAGAATGCAGCTCTGCCCCCAAATTACCTTTCTTGTTTTACCAGTTTTGCAGTTTCCCCAAACTTGTTTTTTTACTGTTGTCAGCAAACAGGCTCTTTAAAATGCCAGCTAGAACCTGTCTGCCAGAAGGGAGGGAGGGGGCTTGGAGGGTTTTCTAGTTCATCATCTTGCCTCCAGGAGAAAGGAAATTGTCTCACAAAACAAACAAAAAGAAAAGAAAAGAAAGAGATACAATCCAACCTTCTTACTTAATGGAACCAACTCTAATGTGCACAAATTCTGAATACAGTGAAGACATGGATATCCAGAACACGTGACAAATGGCCCCTTCTGTTTGGTGTAAAAGGTTTTTCTAAGTATGCTAGTTACCCAGATGGCATAAGGAAAAGACCATAAATGTGATTACAAGAACCAGAAACCTCTTACAAGGGACAGGGCGGGGAGTCCCACTACCAATCGGAACCAAGCAATAGATTGTTGGGGGTTGATCTGTATAATAAATATCATAGACTGAAGAATATTATCCCTAAATATGAAGAGCTCTAACAAACCAATAAGAAAAAAACCCTATAGAAAAATTGGCAATTCACAGATGAAAAGATGCTTAATCTCAATAATAAAAAGTAAATAAAATTAAAAAAGTGAAATATTTTCCATCTACCAAACTTCATGAATGCACCAACCTTCTCTAGTTCAACCGTTCTGGATGGAACTCGTCTAAATGTAACACGAATGTCCCTGCTTTTGGCAACCCATTTGCAGTTTGCTGAATAGGACAACCACTGAAAAAATACTAATTATGACAAAGTGTGACCCAGTAACATCACAGGCCCCCGCGACCCTTCACTAAATGGCTCTACATGGTGTGCTTTCAGATGTTTAGGATAGCTCTGTGTAGTTGAAAAAAAAAAGCTTCTCTTGACAGGCGATGATCACTTCCTCCTGTTTTCTCTACAATGCTTTGATTCTGCTAGATGCTTGGAAAACA